TAAAGAATCTCCTGACATTCATTCATTGTATGTGGATTTAATAATACTTTTGTTAGTAACAGTTATTTTTTTCTTCTTTGGTTCAATCTTTCCTCGGCACATTTTGTGAGAGATTAATCTGAACTCTGTGGCTAGTTCCTGACTGGTGCTGATGCCTACTGCCAGTGAACAATGACACTTAGTTTAACAAATAAATGGTCTACTTCAGATATTTAAACCATCCCTCTATTTCCCCTGCAGTTCCTCTGAACACAGAGAAGCTTTGTTTTAAAGATTAGTGTTAACTTGTACAATAAAATATCCAAATAAAAACGTGAAGCAGGACTGATTTTTACTATAACATTTTATTATATAGATGATGAACAGGAGAGGACTCAGATCTCATTCTCTCCATGCTCCTTTAAGTAGTTTTTTTTAAAATTCCCATCTCAACCAAGTGAGCATTAAAAACAATTAGCACGCAGGGGAAGGATCCATCTGATGGAAGCCTACCTGAGAGCAGCAGCAGTAGTAGTAGTAGTAGTAGCAATAGTAGCAGTCGGCTGACTGCAGATGTATATTTTGTCTAGGGAGCCCCCCTCCTAGTCATCTGCAGAGGATCTCCCTCAGGCTGAGCCATTCAGAGCCACACTTACTATGGCTTGCAGCGCTGAATCACCGTCATTCTGTTGCACTGTAATGAGCAGTACCAGTAAATCTGAAAAACACTATCAGCATATGAAACTCCTCATAGGCTCGACTCAAATCAAACCTCTCTTTCACTTCTGGATCATTGATGTGTGGAGCTCCATTTTTAAATGAATGGTTGTATCTCAAAGCACATATTATAGCTCATTGATACAGGAAAATTAAGCTTATTTCTTATGTAAAATACTTATGTTTTTTTTCCCCTTAAAGAGATACTTTTGTAGATTGCTGAAGCGTATTTAGTGCTACGTGTTTTTACATAATATTGTTTCCTATTGGGGCCATTATTGTAGCAAAACTATTTGCAAATGTGAGTGGAGAGTAATGTAACTATATCTCAATCCATGTGTGCGTAATCAGATTTGTAAATGTAAATTAAAACAAAACGATTTGCAAGTATATTAAGATTTGTAATGTGTAGGTGAATGTGTGAATGTGTACATACGTAGTAATGACTGAAAAGTATTTGCTCCAAGAGCTGGAAATACAGTCATCAGTTACAATTCAAGCTGGCCTCTCAATGGTCTGTCTTTCTACACATTACACAACTTCCAAGACTGATAGAGGCCAGTTTGAGGCCAGGGAAGCCGAGGTGGTTTTCTTGCCGGGTTTGGCCCCTGGCACCCAGGAGCTGACCCTGCCGTAACCCCCGCTCAGGCCTCCAGAGGTGGGCGTTGACTTATGCTCGAGCTCCCTCTCAGTCCTCTCCCGTTTCACGTCTCTCCTGTACCCGCCTGTACTCGCCTGTACCCCTTGTGTCTTTTTCATCCGCTGTAAATCAACTCAGTACTATATTTCCTGTGGTCAAACCGCCTCTACTACTGTAACTGCCCTCAAGATGTTCGTTTGACAGAAGTGGGTGTGACTAATGAGGCACACAGATAAATCACCACATGCATGTGCAGATCTTTGCCACAGTAAAGATGTTGCCGTGTAAAAGACAGAAAAGACAGTTGAGTTGTCTGTATTTCCAGATCTTGGAGAAAATATTTTTTGTTCTAAGAAAGAAAGTTACATCAGTATGTATGTATGTATATACAGATTTGTCTTCACATTACAAATATCAATACACCTGCAAATCTGAATACATATTTGACTTTTTGGTTTATGTATTTTAAGATGCTATTACACATTTGCAAATCTGATTACACATACACGGAATGAGATACAGTCACACAACCCTCACTTCACATTTGTTAATAGTTAATTGTTAATGTCTCAGTAAGTTGTTGACATCCCGTCAGTAGGAAAACAACAAAGAATAAGGTGCAGTTTCCTCCTTTCCGTTTTCTGTTAGTCTGCAATGGAAATTTACTTCCAAAATAAGTTCAATCTTTTTTCAAACGGCCCCAAATCAAGCCTTCCAAATTTACATCGAGCGCAGCTGTAATATCGAGAGTAAAACCTAACGAAAATGTTTGACAGATTGCGTGGGGAAACCTCTTACGGCCCCTTTTTTATGAGAAAACCAAATGAATCAGATTGAGAGGAATTCTTCTTAAGTTGATCGACTCATGGGCTTTCAGGTTTATGCTAATTGTGCCTCTCCTGAGTTTATCAGTCGATAGGTGAATGTTGTGCCTCTGCAACAATTTAATCAGTTCAGCGGAAAGTGATAGGTTTTTGCACGCCCACTTGGTGTCGGTCTTTCGCACTTCGTTGCTTATATTCCTGTGGTGTTAGAGCAGATTGACTCCCGTCAATCAACACAGCTACAGAGTTTACCACATAACATTTCTGCTGTGCAGGTGGCTTTGACAGGCCTGTAAACATCGCTCTGTGTTTTACCCATTAAGTTAAAGTAGTAAAAGTAAAAGTGCCTAAATGAGCCTACAGACCACGATCAATTTTGAGAGATTAGTATTTTATATATTTGTTATGTGATTGATGAGATTGAAACATAAACATTTCTCAGCTACATTTCAGTAATGACTGTGCTTGGACAAAAGAAGCCCAGTTACTAGCTTTTTCATTTCATCGTTACAGCTGCTCTGATGGTCTTTTAACAGCTTTAAGACGCTGTTCATTTCCAGCACAGTTGCAACACTTGTCCTCTGAAAGGTCACAGCCTTTAAAGGAGATCTGTATTCGCCCATCACAGTTTTATTTCAACGATGGAATTGTATGACAAAATCAATAAACTGGCCAACTTGTTGTCTATTATACCTCGGTGTTCTATATACAAAGGTAAATGTTTGCTTTGAAAGTGACAGTGTAGTCTCATAGGTGCGTGGTGGTGCTGTGAGTGTGATTGTGTGTGTGAACATGGTTGACATGGGAAAGGAAGAGCCTCCCACGCTAACAGGATGATGTGAGTGATGGTGGCCAGACACAAAAGCAAGCAGCAGAAAACAAATAAAACAACAGAATGTACACTAAATAAAAACTGTTGGTCCTGCGACAGAGGCTGTCAGAGAGTTGAGGTGTTTAACAGAAATATGCGCACAAGAAACCGACTTAGAGTGGACTGTAGTTTGAGGAAGAGATGATGAAACTGTGAAACAGATAGGAAGGTTAAGAGGATTATTATGGTTTACTGAACTGATGAAAGCTGTGTGGCTTTACGAATGCATTTGTTTTATTTTACAGCGTTTGTTGCGGGCTCTGTGTCATCGCATTTAAATATGGTTTCCTTTTTCTCATGAAACACTTGGCTGGGTTCATTTGCTCATCATTTGACTGAGTCACCCAACTGCCTGTTTTTTTTTTTTTTTTTTAAATTAAGTTACAGTAATACATGTGTTTATTATGGGCCTGAAGAAGGTGAGATTTCACAGTACGTTTGCAAGAGTGGACAGAAATAGGTGTCGAAGAGAGGAGCTGCATTTTGACTGTCATGTACAGACAGGTCTTTAAATTAGCCCATTGTCAAACTTGGCTAGAGGTCTGCTGCACCTTCCTAAACCAGTCTGCCCAGTCTGATTTCTGCATTTCGTGTTTCTGACCTATCAACGTCACCTTTCAAAACACTTCGAGAAATCACATGAAGAAGTCACAGGAGTAACACACACACACACACACACATGCATTGTTACAGTGGAAAAAGCATTTTCCATCAATTTCAAACAAATGAAAGTCTGCCTGTCTGTCCTCATCCCTCCCCCTTGCGTCAAAGTATTTGAAGTTGATTCACTTCACGGCTGCGACTTTTACTAGCTCCCCGCTGCGTCTCTTGTGGTCCCAGTGTGAATGCTGGATGGAGGCAGCAGATGTAAAACAATCACACGCGTTGACTGAAAAACAGGCAGCAGCGCAGAGAAAGAGTAATCTGTTATTTATTTCAAATTAGACTCTAACTGAGTCGGTGGAGTAATTAACCACTCCGGGCTCGACGTGTTTTTGACAATGGGTTGGTTTTACTCTGCTCTCTTTTTTTGCCATTGCTTTAAGAACCCCATGAACAGGCCTGAGGAAATGTACTGAACTACCATTAAAGCTCTGATGAAGTAACGGACAGCCCCACTGATTGGCCGGCCATACAGGGCTGTGTTTATAGGAGTCACTTCTTGGACTCAATCAAAGGTCAGAACTGGCACATTTAGTGAATGGAATAGTTTCTCTCATTTGTTATGTCAGGAGTGATTATATGTCACGTCAGAACTTTGGGTCTGCCAGTTTGTGAGTTTTTCCACCTTTAGCTCTCGGCTGGTTGAGTTTGAGCTTTCAGTCTTGTGAGGAACTCAGTGTGGGACAGCGCTGCCCTCTGCTGGCCAGAAATGTGAACGAGTAGTGATGGAAGGATGAATGCTTATGATGTTTGGGGGCTTCAAATTCAAACATGCACAGTGACATCTGGTGGTTCTCTTGTCTTGTAGTGTATTAATGTAGTAATAGTGTTACCTCAGTTATATTTTGTCACAACCGGGCTCAAGGCTGGACAAAGAAGTAGAAGAACATGTAAGAATGGTAACTAAAAACACGTTTATTTTACATAACTAAAAGGAAACTTAAGATATAGACGAACAAAATGCAGTAAAACCAAACAGGGTTGAAGCCCGGGGAGAAAGAGACTGGCTGACTTCCACCAGCTTAAATATCCTGCAGCCTGACTCCGCTTATCAGGCTCCATGATTATTTGTGTACATCCCCCGTTTTTCTCAATTATTCTCCTCTGTTATTATCCCACCAACGTTCAACGCTTTCAAAACTGAATAAAGCACCAGTGACACAAGCTTTGGAGCTCCTGCATCGTACACCCATTGCTAATTTGCCGTGAGAATGATATAAGATGTGCTGACACGAGGCACATTTAAGTGAATTATGCAGTGAATATGCGATATTAAGTGTTTCTCTGTTTGTTTCTGTCTTCACAGTGAATGAAATCATCGGCAGAGACATGTCCCAGTCTCCCAGCGCTCACTGTCCTCCATCAGCACACAACCAGTCATAGCTCAGCCCACACGAAAGCCCTGACGCAGCCTTTGGGTCATGAACCGTCCCCTCCAGCTGTTAAACCTGCAAACCCCACAGCTCCAACACTGACTGTGGACCCCGCTCCCGGTCTAGGTGCTGGTCCGGCTGCTGGTCCTGTGTGCGATGGGACAAGAGGGCAGGAAGAAAAAAAAGAAAGAAAAAAGACTGTGGTCAAAGACAGAAGAGCGGTTGGAGATTCTGTTAAAGCCTCATGGACCTGCTAGACCACCAGCCTGACAAGAAGACATTTAAAACTCTACTATTTCTCTCAGTTAGAGATAGAGATACGGAACTCGCAACTTCGCACAGATTAAACTGAAAGCTGAGTGAGAGAATGTAGGTTGAAATGGTTGGAGAATAATGAGGATTAATGAGATTGTCAACACGTGAGCTGTCCCTCTTCATTAGGTGTGTGCCTGACCTTTCAAAGCACTGCTGTCTTCCTGACCAATCAGCTCTCTCCGTGAGTTCGGAGCACTTACTTTTTCAAATAACTTTCTGTATCGGAGACAATACGACGGCGGGTGTTGTCGTCCCCCCCTTCTCACCAGCAATTACCTTCATGAATGAAGACGTCTCGAGAGACAGACAGAGAGAGAGAGAGAGTGCGCACGGTGCTCTCACAGGAAGCCAGAGCTGGGATTCAAAACCGGTCTGAAGGTGGTTTCAGTTCTCTGAAGTTAGAGTTTCTCAGGCAAAAAATTCTATAAACAGCAGGATACCGAAACTCCCAGCATGCTACAGAACATTCGTGATTGCCTGAATGAGCATTAGCAAAAGTGGGGCATGATGTGGCAAAAATGAATCACACTTGTGATTTACACTTGACATTTTACATTTAAAGAATTCTGGGAAAATTAATTATTAGCCAAAAAATTGTCCGGCCTGAACGATCAGAGTAGTTCGTAAAAAAATCTTTCAGAAAAAAAAACCTGTCCGGTCCCAGTGTTTGTGCTCGTGGGTTAGTGATGACAGCACCGTCCGCTCCTCGTCTTTCTCCCTTTTAAAAGCTAAAACCATTCAGGTGCTGGAGTGCAGGGAAACTGGTAGGGAGGATGAACTGATCTGGGATCTGCAACCTGCAACATTCCGACAACTTTTAGTAACCATGCAGCCATGTAGATATCTGTACATGACCCCCCCCCCTTCCCCCCTCCTTCCTTCTTCTCTTATGTTTTATCTTTACCCCCCCATGTGTTTTCTTTTTATCCTCTTCAAGTTGAACAAATGCCTTATTAACACTTAGCAGCTTTGAATGGTAGCGAAACCTTTTTGTTGTTGTTGTTGTTGTTTTGCACAGCTGGCTTTGAGTTAGACTGTAATATTTTTTCGGAAACAGATTTGGGTCATGTGGATATGATTTCATGCGTCCTGAGGAGGGACCTCTCTGCTTCGGAAAACTTATTCTCATGCAATAATTCTCCAGATCCCAGGGGCCCCTCGTGTGCCTTCTAATTTCTAACAGCCACCATATTTTGCGATGGTATGGCAATCTAGGCGACAAACAATGGGAAATAATCTGACAAAACGTTTGGAGGTATTTTATACTTAAAGATGTCTATATATTGCATTTCTGTGTTGAACAATCCCAAAGTGTGGAGAACGGCGTCTGGATGTAACAGGGTTCCTGTTCCTTCCACATCCCCTGTTTGCAACAATCAGTGTTTGCTGTTCACAATCTAAATACTTCTCCTTAACTGTCTCCAGAATGGTATCTATTTCTCGATGATTTATTCATTAATATTATAATATTCTGACAGACATGCAGTGCCTGTAGGGCAGCAATAACACAGTCTGGAGGAGAGAGTGTTTTCAGGCAGATACGACGCGCGGATGCGGACGGACAGATTCCCGGGTGCAGATTCCCTTTGGCTGTTTTGCCTTAAGCTTGACAATGTTGCTCCTGCATGAGAAAGCTGAGGAGTGTTTGCTTTTGACAGCTTGAAGTCAGTTTCCAGGTGAAAATGATTCTGCTATGCATTAAAATTCTGCCTAATGCCTTTAAAAATGAGAAAAAAAATAAGACAAAAAAAAGACCTTGATGCCTATAGAAGTAGACTGTAGACTTATTGTAGATGCTTCATTGATTCTGTTAGCATCCTGGAGTTGCCCATCAGCCAATCTGCCTTGTCAAGGACATAGTGCAAGCATCTTAATAGGTTCAGGTGTGTGTGTGTGTGTGTGTGTGCGTGTGCGTGTGTATGTATGGATGGATGGTGCTTGTACCAAATATGCTGTACAGAAGACAGGAATTGTAAGAGTCCTATTTTCGACAACAGAAGCACACACATGTATTTAGGCTATGCAAACTATAACAGCAGCAAAGGTGAGATACGACATTAAATATGAAAAATGAGATTATAAACTATTTGTAATAATGTTGCTTATGAACTTCACAGAGCAGACAGAAAAAAAACATTCAGATAGTGAGAGTATCATGTCACTATGTAAACTATTAGGATGCCTTAACTTGTTTGAAGACCCGTTTGTCAGTGTGTCTGTATGCTGTTGTGGGTTGATTTATTTTTTATTTTTCATGACTAAGACATAAGTCAGTAACTTTTTAAAATTTGTTTGTTTGTTTTTTTGGGGGCATAGGTTGGACGTTGAGGGGTTGGGTGGGAGAAGGGAGATGGCTTTTTTTGCATATAAAGCTGGTTCTGCAGCTTGAAAGACTTGATTCAACAAAACAAAAAAGAAACAAAACCAGCATTGACAGTAAACTCTGGCTGCCGTCCTCTTCTGTCACAACCAAAGACCGAACAATATGTTCCCATATTACATTATGGTAAAGCAACAGAGACTGTACAATTCTATTTTTGATACTTTGAAAATGGATGTCATTCCTAAAAGGTTGGGGACATGTATGAGTGTTGAAAAAATAAATAAAAAGACATATATATATATATATATATATATACATACAAACACACACACACACACACACACACAGATATATACATATATATGTATACGTATATATATATATATATATATATATATATACACATACATATATATGTTTTGTAAAATAAAAGGGAAATACAGGTTTAGCTGATGTTTACCGAGCCTTGTATTGTCATTTCTTGTATATTTTGTATGTTAAATTTTTTGTAATTTTTAAGACTGCAGTGCTTTTTGAAATTATTCAAAGGGAATACCTTGCATCATACTGTAGGCTCTAAAGTAGTGTATATCAATAAAACAGAAAACTCAGCTATGGCTTTGTGTCAGTGTTTTTTTCCCCATGTGTTTGAAACAACAGCTTTCCTCTCCCAGTAGACCTTTTTCACAGCAGCCATTTTTCACATGAAATAGTAGGGTAAACACAGGTTACTTTACTACACAGATGTAGTAATTAAGGCTCTGTTCCATTTAGATCGAAGAGATTCGGGGTGCTGCTGTTGTGCATGTTGGCTCGCTAGAAGGCTCCGTTACACTAAATGGAAGTAGAACCTAATTAGCATTATTAGTACCTGTGTTCACACCGTTTAATGTCAAAAAGGTCTGTTCTGTGCTCCCACCAACTCCTGTTCACAACTCAGCAAACTATAGTATTTACTCAAAGGTTGAATAAATAGACAATCATAACAAAGACAATACACTGCAAACAAAGCTGCACATATTCAGAAGTCTTATATTCCGGTCTGTAGACGGCACTGGTTTGGTGCCAGTTTGTGTCAATTCAAATTGTTATTTGGTGATTGTAAGTTGGCTTTCATTAAATGGATATAATGCATGATCACAGAACCATTATGTATAAAATTTTAAAATGTCTGATTTAGTGCCCTCTAGTGGTAGCATCAGAAAATTAATTGTAGCGCTTCACACTTCCTAATAGAATATGGCAATTTGCATACTGACTCAAACTATTTGACTTTGTTGTGTGGGGCAGAGGACTGTCCACATCACCCTTTAAACTGCATTTATTCCCTTTATGAAAAGAAAACGTAGATTTGTACATATGAGGAACATTTCCAATTGGTTTTATTGGTGCCTCATTAATTAATTACTCTCTTTAAATGAAACCCAATGAAACACAGATCATTGTCAACATTTTTTATTGTTGTTTACGGTCTTATACACAGATCTAAATTCATACAAGTCTCAAACTTGCACCAAAAGAAACAAACATCTCCTCTGCCACCAGAGGTTGCCCTAGCCTTGTTTGGGCCAGTATTGCACTCTGGGTAATGTAGGCACAGTAAAGAGGAAAAACCTAAGACAGCTGTCAGCAGGCCTGTCAGAGGAAAACTCATGCAGCTTTTACACAGTACTCCGGTCATTAAAGCATGCTACAGACTGATCATTAGAAATAGTCTGGAAACCAAAACAGAAGAGATCTAGTAGCTGAGGTCAATCATTACAAAGGCTTCAGGATACACCTCTACCTTTTTACATTTAATAACAAAATCTCCACTTTGGTAAGGAAATGAGACTAATAAAAATAGAATCAATTTGTCATTCTACTCTGTTAAAGACGCTCTGTCGCTTAACTCTTTGATTGGAGCAAATAAATCTGTAGTGCTTGAAAAATGTTTAAATGGGCCGACATACTGTATGTCACACATAAATGCTCTTTACAGAAAAATATTAAAGTTACAAATTAATTAGTACGTTGGCACATCTGTGGCATTGCTGTAGTTTTACAGTCGCTGCAGCTCAAGGTTCGGTTCAGATTAATGACAGTCAAGTTGAGTCGAGTACTGTTTCATATTCTCTCTGTTGTTTCAGTAGCCCAGGTCTCGATGGCTTTGTCGTGTCTCTTTCAAATGTCAGCACTGCACTACTGGAGGCCATCGGATCAATAAACATTGTGCATGCACATACACACATCTGTGTCTGCGTAAAGCTGCAGAACACAAAAGATCTGAGAACGCATCTAAATCTTGTAGTGGTTAAGCGTGAAAACTTAACAATATACAGAAAAGGTCGTAAGCAGAAGTGGTTTGTACAGCCTCAAGCATTTCAGGATGAACATCTGTACAGTTTTACGGGGAGAATTTAAATATACATGCATATTTGGCTTTGCAGAGCCACTGATATGGGTGTGTCCAGGCTCCACACCATCTCATCTCCACAACCAGCTATTACGGTAGATGCAAATACACAGAAACGCAGCATGTGACATCCACAAAGTCATCCACGTGAAGCTTTAATGACTTCAGCTGCTATTCCAGTGGATGTCCGAACTCCAGCAGCGGCTACAGGAGTGTCAGGGGCCAGCAGTGTCGGTTGTAGATCAACAAATGGCAGATCACAGAAAAGGGAGAGGTTCAATAGATGTTTTAAGTGGCACTGGGATCAACTTGATTCAGTTTTATGAAAAAGCTGTTGCTGGAGGGATGTATTTTGGGGGCGGGTGCTCTTCAATGGGACATTAAACTGAAGGAGAGGAGGGAGTAGTGGTCAGTTACAGAAGATCAAGTGGACCTGCTGGCCGTAGAAGGGGTGGTTGGAGCGCTCGGCTACGGCCCGCCTGGCAATCTCCTCGCTAGGGAAAGTGATCAAGGCCTCGCCACTGCACTGGCCACTGAAGTTGTACAAGATGAGAACGGCGTCTGGCTGGAGCTGCAGAAGAATAAATAAAGGGGAGACAAAAACATGAGACAAATAAGCGCCACTTATGTTAATGCAGTTGCGGCATGAAACCACCGGGGGGAGCCCACAAAGCTGAGGATGAAGAAAGCCTTGGGAAAGCTGGTCTCATCAAACCAGTCCAGTTAGGTAGAAAAAAAGAGGAGATTAATGGGCAGAGCTTGAGAGCAAAAGCAGAGTACATGCTGTTCCCAGACGACCTGAACCACACAAACACACACACACACACACACACATTAATTAGTTTGCATGCATCCACGTATGGCATCAAAATAAATACATTTGATACAAAAACAAAAACAAAAAAAAAAAACAGTTTCTTTACGACAGGCAGATATGGAACAACTCACTGATCACATTGTCAATGACAGCAGTAAAATCCATTAAATCTACGACAGTGGGAGACAGTGTTAGTGGGATAATGCAGTCAGGAGAGGGTTCACAGGAAAAGGTCGACGCAGTGAGACAAACCCTGATTCAGAAAACACTTAGGTAATTTAGAGAAGGAGTGCTGAATCGAGACTAACTGACAATGCAGTGTGTGTGTTATCAGTGATCCTAAATCAGTACCTCTGTTAACAGAGGCAATGGGAAAGCATTCTTTTTCCTGAGTCAGTTTCTTTCATCTATTTAATTATTACTTGAAGCAACACCAAAACTACCTTAAGTACCAAACTTCCTGCATAGAGTGGGTGTCATCTTCAGTAAATCAAGCTACATGTACATTATATGCAGGAGGCCGTGCTGTCATAAGTCCAAGTTGTACAACTGAACCGATAATTTATATTTATGAATAAATAAAAGCACAAGTCAGACAAAGAATCAATCGTATCTACAGTAATTATTCTAGGTGGTGAAATTAATGACAGCTTTGGCCTGGAGTCACTTCATCAGAGGATTTAACAAAAAAGCAAACGACGACTCAGTGTCCCTCGTATTTCATTCATTATGTGTAACATGCATGTTTAGTCGTATTGAAGTGTGTGTACGGACTCAGCACTCGGCCTACAGGAGAGATGTTAGTGATGAGGCAGATTTGTTTGGGAAGCAGCAGGTTGACATGCCGGGTAAGGAACTCAGAACCTTGATGGCTAGATTGGGCATTCCTGTTTCCTTTGGGAGCTGTGGTCAAACTTAAGCACTGGTTTGGTGATTTGCAGGTTAAAATAGCTTTTAAATGTTAAATTAATATACATTACTGTGAGGCAGATACTTGCTTCATGTTTGAATATAATGTTTTATGTAGCCTACAGTGTGACAATTCAAGTTCACTTCCTCCAACTTTAACCTAGATGTCGTGGCCAGCAAATCACCAACTCAGTGCTTACTGGGCAGTTTGATGCTAGTCCATTCCTGCACGCATTAGCCTGAACATATAGGCATTATTTAAGTTTAGGAAATGCCCTCTCTCTCCACTCTGGTTCTCTGGTCTGGAGGCTCTTCTTACCTTGGGGTGAGTCCCTAAAGACAGAGCCATTCTTTGGGCTGAATCAGACTCCTGGCCTGTTCGCTCATCTGAACCATGCTGCTGTACTCGTCAGGGGCGTACTACAGATGGCATAATAATGAACGGACAGTCAGGGTGGGAGGCCTGAACATTGTTTCACACATGACAGTACACACTTTTTGATACACACAGGAGGTATATACCCTCCTAAATACTCAAGGAGAAAGACAAACGCGCACACACACCACAGTATGACAAAGCATGAGATTGTGTGGTAAGGGACCCCAGTACTGGTGTGAGAACTGTTTTCTCACCCACAGCCAGTGTCAGAGACGCTACTGCAGCCAGAAAAACACACACACACACACACACACACACACACTCCATTCAGGATACAATTACGGTAGTTCAGCCAACAGTCAGGACTGGAGTCAGCTTTACTCGCTCGCTCTCACACACGCACAATTATCCCTCAGCATGTAATGTTCTCAGGCTGCAACTCAATTTAAGTTCTTATTTGGTGTGCATTACACACACACCCACACCCACCCACACCCACACCCACACCCACACACACAGCTACAACAACAGCACAACCCCTCCACCTCAAACCCCACCCCTCTCCCTCTTCCCTCCCCGACTTGCAAAACCGCCTGGAGCCACACCTGTCAGGGTTCATACCTGCTTCAGAGGACTCCACCTAATTTCGACTGGCAGCGAAAAAATATGGGAAGCACAGAGAAAGGGGGGAGAGCACAAGTGCACACATGTCCCTCAGTTAAACACTACTGTAGTGTGATTTAGATATAAAAAGCACCAATGGTAAAACTAAATATTTGTAGGTGCAGGGTTGAGAGCTCAGTGGACCAACAGCTATACACTTTATCATGTTGGGTTGCAGGATGTGGGCAGAGTTCCCAATCAACTGAATACAGACACACACACACATTGCCTATTGTTATGCTGGTCTGCGTTTGAATTGACCATCGTTGGCTGCTGCGAACCGCTGGCAACACTGCGAGGAGGTGCAGCTTTAATTCAAATGTGTGAGCATTTTACAAATACAGCTAAAATCATTCAGACAGTTGAAAACCATTCCACAGGTGCAATTATTATGTAGAACAACCTGCATGGCAATAAAAGAACAACATGATATATTATTTTCTGGCAAGCTTTTGCAGTATATGGCTTGCAAATGTACACATCTTCGGGTGGCCCTTAGATCCCTGAGAACACAAAGGGACTTTTATATCCATGCTTCAGTGCAACATGTACTGACCTGGTATCCCTGGAAGAAGCTAAGAATGTCCTTGACTCCAGTGTTGTATGGCAGGCCCTGCATCCTGACCAGGGCGCCATGTTGAGGCAGGACAGGAGAGGCGGCTGCAGCAGGGTGAGGCTGGGCTGCCACTGCGGCTGCCACTGCTCCCGGTGGGGCTGCAAAGTAGCTAACTGTGGAAGGAGAAACTGGGGGGCTGGAGGTGAAGGAAGGGAAAAATTAGAAAGAACAAAAGAGGCAAGAAGTTAGAGATGTTATACCGTTATCACTGACCTAGTAGTTAGCTGTAGCTGATGATGCACTAACCTGGGGTAGTAAGCTGTGTAGTTCATGTTCATATTCATGTACAGGTGTGGGTGAGGGGGGTAGTAAGCCAGAGTGTGAGCGGGGCTGTGTGTGGTGGTCTGGGGAGGTCTGGGAGCAGCCAGCAGGGGGGGCTGGTAGAGAGCAGCCTCAGAGAGAATGGCAGGCGGGGTGGGGAAGGCCGCGTAGGCTGTGGGGGGAGACAGACCTACAGAAGGAGAAATATACAGAGACACTTACATGTTGTGTTCAGTGCATGCACAGTCCCACCAAGAGTAAAGTGTAGTATGGAGAAATATGTGAAGAGTTACAACATGCTGTTATAATATACTTCTAGCACCATGAGTCATTAGGACTAAATAAATTCATTCTTAAGTTAGACTGCAATAGTTAGGAAACCAATGAACTCACTAACCATTCATGTCAGTTTCTGAGGGGAAAAAAATTCCAGTGTGAGGATTTTGTTTTTCTCTTATTATTATTGTAAACTGAACATTTACATGAATTAGTAATTTACATCACAAAACATTTGTCACCTGGGGCATCTTTTATTATTTTATGACAAATCTGAAATGTGTAAATTTCAGCCAAAAATACTTATTTTGAAGTTATAATCATCTATTGCAAACTTATATTATGTATGGACATTTAGATACAGATACTCATCACTGTCAGTCTTTAAGGTGGTTTAGATGCTCTAACTGTCGACTTGTGTAAAGCGGTCTGGTAGAAGTTCTGCATAGCAAGGAAACTGATAAGCAGAAAGCTATAAGATCAGACCAGAATGACAGCCAAATCTATAAAAATAAGACCCAGGTCTGGAAAAACCCTGATTTTTCCTTGAAATGGCACATCAGACCGGAAAGGCCCCCAAAACACCTTCTGTACGCGAGAGATTTTATTTACAAAGCAGGCTGTGTCCTTCAAGCTGTCATACCTACAATGTAAAACACACACAAACTCACAGTATGGGTGTATTTACATACAAACAGCCTCTATCACGGCGAGGCTGTGGGCAGTTGTGGCCTCAGTCAGTGCCAACACGGCGACACAACACTGCTGACCTTGTGGAGGCTTTAGAGTTCCCAGGTTAACCGGGCAAAAATAAATTACTGTTTAATTCTGGTAAGGACTGTAGATGAAAAATCAAAACCACAAAAACCGAAGATGAAAAGAGTAAACATTTGTTCATCAGTAACAATCACAGAATGTCCCCTCTAGTCGCTACCAATCCCAATCTAATCTCCAGCACCAGACTGATATGAGCCATAACAGAGCAAAGTACACCGTTAGAGTTGTATACAGTCTGGTCTGAACTGGCATCACTGTTTCAGACGAAGAGACGTAGCTGTATAGTATGTTTATTACTAAAGAAATACCAGCAGTGTGGCACATTCAATATTCATATTCAAATATTTTGATATGCAGCTTTTCATTTCTAGGATATTATATGATAAGTTTGCTTGAATGCAAATGGAGTTCAGTGTTGCAGGCATCAAATATGCCTACCTAACTCGTTCAAGTTTATCAGTGTCCCAACAAGTGGAAAAAGAAAGTTTTATATAATACCAAAAAAATCCAGACAGTTTAATCAAAAATACCACCATGACCAATCCCACAAAAGGAAAGCAGGCTTAATTGGTGGAGTTCACCTACAGGGTAGCTTGCAGGGTGGAGGGGAGAGGCCGCTGCGGTTCAGGGTTCCTCCCATCAGCACGATGCTCATCTCCTCTGTGGAGCACTGGAACACCTCCACATAACGGTCCTTCATGGTCTTTTTATGGCACTTCTGGGCCACCATAAATGCCTTGTCAGATGATTTCATTTGGATGAAGGCATCACCAGAGGGCCGACCCTGCAGAGAGGACAGAGAAAGAAACAGACAGAATAAATTAAAGGCAAAATCCACCAATAACATTCAAAGGATGTGGCGGTCTACTGCAAATGTGCATTTGGCAAAAAACTTGGTGATAGATAGAGTTTGGTGATGTTAAAGTTTAATAGTTCTTACGATGCAATTAATGAAAAAAAAAAAAAAAAATATATATATATATATATATATATATATATATATATATATATATATATATATATATATATATATATATATATATATAAATAATTATACTAAACACATTTGGCACCACACTACTCAATTTTATATTCATGTACAGCATCAGATTTTAAGAAAAACCAAATTTGTTTTGGTTTTTTTAACTTTAAAAAGGTCTTTTTGGTCTACAATATGATCATGTAGATTTACTTCAGATACTTTGCGAACTTAGTTCAGACTGGGGACATGTAAGGTTTTCTTCTACTATAGTTATTTCTGATACTTGCGGGTGAACATGGATGATTTTTAACATGGTTTTAAGACATACAGCTTTACATTTACACATGTGCCGGATCCCACAAGTCCCTACCAGTCTAACCTGTTGGTTGAGGACCATGTGGACTCCATGGGGTTTGATGTCAACGGTGTGCTCTCCCATGAACTCCAGGATATCTTCAATGCCGGCAGTGTAGGGTAGGCCACGGAGGCGGACACAGTCGCGAGTGCTGCTGGCTGCTGGAAGGAAGGGAGGCGTGGCAAGGACCGGAACAGGCACGATAGGTGAAGGGGGCAGCGTGGAGATCAGAGGCGTGGACATATAGCGGTTCAGGACCTGGAAAAGACAGAAGAATAAGTATGATGACAATACAAAAATGACATTACTGCTATTGTTCATTTCACACCATTCTCAACAGAAAAACTCCAGTGTCAATAAACAGCTTTAATAATACAGAAAAACTTAAAAAATGAAAATGTTCACTTGGTATCAACATGTCACAGCCAACAGGAACAAGCTGAAGGACAAAAGTGTTTCTCAGGGTGAAAGCAACATACATATACATTGTGCAATAACTGTTATTTTCAGTTGTGCAAACTTCACAATCATCTGATTTATTGGATGTCTCGATTGTTTTGTGACATATTTTTCGATGTTTGCTCACTTCTCTAGGTTGTCATGGCATCAGTTCTTTGAAAAAATTTCTGACGGGGAAGCAGATGCTGTGGATGGCAGCATGTGGACTGGTATCACGCAGAAACTTGGCAATACAAAAAGGCTTTCTCAAGAGCCTTCATTTCAAGAAAACTAAATTCATTAATTTTTCTACACATTTATCTTGAATAGTATGTTATGTAAAACAGTAGTCCAATTACTGCCAAGACAAAAACATGGGCATGTTTGTGTCTCAAATAGAAAACCACAAGTTCCCCTATTCCTATGACCAGTCTCAAATGTCTAAAACAGACGTTTCTGGAAATATACAAATAAACACGCCTTTATATTAACAACACCACTGGCTTCTTTATTTCTTACATTTATTTTGAATTTGATGCAGTTTGTCAGCACATTTTCCCAGAATGTGGAATCTGACATGATGTGTTTTTTTCCTGTCATGACAAAACTCACAGCTCAGAGATCCCTTTAGTCCATACGACAAAAAAAAAAAAACATTACCTGTTGCACCTCAGCCGCAGTACTCCGAAACAGCTCGATATACCGCTTCCCCAAGATCTGCTTGTGCTTCTTCAGGGCGTTCTGGGCGTACTCTTCGCAAGAAAAGAGCACAAAGGCATCGCCAGTGGGTCGTCCATCAGGGTACTTGACAAAGAGGAGGCCCTCAGCACCATCTGTAACTGGGCTCTCGGGACCAAGGAAGGACAGCACTTCCTGGGGGGTGGCAGTGAACGGCAACCCCCGCATACGGATAATCACCTGGTTCTCTTTGGACAGGAACTGGGCCACCTCGTTAGATGTACCTGGTGTCAGAGGACAGGCATAATTAAACACCACAAAATGCTCACAATGACAAGGCCAAGATGCTGATGATTGGTGGGTATTACACACACCAATGTTACCATGTTTACCATGTACGGCATCTTAGTTTAGCATGTTAGCATGCTAACGTTCGTTAATTAGCATTAAACACTGGCTAATGGGAATGTCATGAATTTGCAGCTATTTGGTCATAAACAAAAGTATTGGAAAAATGCTCATTTTGACCTGGAAAAAAAACTGGATAGTTGACAAACAATTCACTCAACCTCATGGTGGTACTACAGAAAAGGTCAGGGGATCACCAAAGTTAGTAGGATTCATTGTCTGGGAACCATGAATGGACCAAAGTAAATAATGAGCCGACCGACTGACACTACCATTCCAAAGCTACACAACTAGTGTAGTAAAAGTCACCAGGCAGCAGTACCTGTGTTGTGCTAATCCAGCAAATTAAATACCTGACAAGACATTTCATCACATTGGTTTAACAATCCTCAAAATCCAAGAGGAATCATTTGAATTAATTTGCAATATTACCCAAACTGGCCTAATACACCTGGAGAGAAGAGACAGCGATACAAATAAAAAAAATATGCAAGAATTTCAGTTGACACTTTTTTTTTTCCTTCATCCCACGATACATCGGTATTGTATTGACCCTACCAACCTTTCTCAACCCAACTTCTTCCATCACTCAGCCAGGCTCTGCTACAGATTGTTCTGAGCTACGAACTCTACACCATAAGAATTATGCACCCTATTTGTTAAACTATAGATATGATATGATATTTAACATGAAACTACTATGAAAACAGTAATGAATCAGTTAGTGCTGGGCAGCAAAGCAGCAGAGACAAAATCAAAAGGAGGATGTTCGTGAGGCAGACTGTCTGGTTTGTAACCAAAAAGTTCACATTGTCTTTGCCCACTGATGTGTGCACAGGCACATCCAGCTGAACTATGTCAGAACTTTCACACAGCTTTATTCACCCACCACCATTACACAATCACCTACACTTGGTTTCGGGTGTATTGTCTTTGTTAAAATCATGCCCCTCTTTACTCTGCTAGATTCAAGGAGAATCAGTTTGGCGTTAAACTAGCAAAAAACTAAGAGGGTATGTTAACTTAAATGACCATGCAAACACAGGTGAAAACAATTTAAAACAACTACAATATCAAATTTCATTTTCCAAAATCTGATATGATTAAATTATTTGGATTATACATTAAATTACAAGTTTACTGTGAACCACTTTCATTTCTATTGATAAATGCAGCTGTGTCTTGTCTGCTTAAGAACTATTTGCTTAAAGTCCAATGTGCTGTCAATCTGTACTGATCTTAACTCATCTGAGTAAAGTCCACAGTCGGACTGGCAGCCACTGTAAGTTATCTGCTCTGAGTGACTGTGTTTCTTTGTCTGCTATCTCTGTCCTGTGTTACTGCTGGCTGCTGCTCGACGGTCCAGAGGCCTCGGGCCCTGCCTTTGTCTCTTCACACCTCCTTTGTACCAGTACTGAGCCAGTCCTTTCACCGGCCGTCAGCGTTCTCTCCCTCAGGGGAGTGGCGCTCGAGGCTGAACAGAACAGGTGAGCTGCTGTTAGCCGAGAGTGAAATTTCTCTCCAACTGGCCTCTGAAGGCCTGGGTTGGGGGCTAGGAGGTGAGGAAGGGACGGGGGGCTGTGGGGGAAGCTCCTCACAAAGGGTCTTTCATTAGTCCAAGATAAGCTGCTGGAGAGTCACTGGGATGAGGCAAAGACACAGGTAATAGGAGAGAGCGCCAGAGCGCAAATGAGAACCCTTCTTTTACGGTCTCTAAAGACGTGTTCTTTAACAGATGTGGAAAGGTCTTGTTTTTCCTCAAAGATGCAGGAAAACGATGAAATAGAAGTCTAAGTCACACTAACAGAAAGCCTTTCACCACGAGTATTCCTACAAACATGGAGAGAAAAGAAAAAAATACGAAATCTGACCTCCAGCAATCTTGAGGAATTCCTCTCCTGTGGCCTTGTAGACCTGAGAAGACAAGAGGAAAGAGAGCCATAAAGAACAACTTCAGACTGACAGTGACAAGTGATAGATCTTTACCCCAATAAACAAAATAATGATATCAGTAAAAGATAAGCTATTATTATTATCATTATTATTATTATTATTAGTATAGTTATTGCTATTGTTGTTGCTGTGCACTTTTGTCTGTCCTTCTCTTTCATATATTGACTACCTAAGGACTTAAAGGGGGTCATGTGTTCAGCTTAGTTTATTTTAAAAACAGAAAAAAAAAATTACAACATGACTGAACAATAAGTATTTAATTCTGTATCTAACCTCGATGTAGCGGCTGCCCATGTGGTGCTTGTGGCGCTCCAGGGCCAGGTCCCTGTGTTCTGAGTTGACGAAACGAACTAAGGCCTCGCCATTTCTCCTGCCCTGAGCGTTAAGACACAATGCCACGCCACCCCTGAAACACAGTTGCATGAACACAGTTAATGATACGGAGCAACGGTCAGGAATAAAACAGTAGCAGGTACTTGAAGTTTTGTTATCAGAGGTGCGTTCAATAAGGATACGCAAGATCTAGTCGCTTAATGAATACTTTCTCAGATTTGCCCGTTCCCAGTCTTTATGCTAAGCTATTGACTGCAAGCTTAGATTGGTATAAATCTTCTTATCAAAATCTTGGCAAGAAAGCGAATATAATGTATAAGTATAAAATGAAAATTTTACATGAATACAATAGAAAAAGTAAACACACCGACTATTCTAACCTACAGTGCAAAAAATATTTAGTGCCTTTAAAACCATGACTTTGACCACTGATTTTGCTGGCACAATGGCAAAAGTAAGAGCACCAGCTGCTGAAAAAAAAACCCCAGAAAACCCCAAAAGAGCCTAAGACTAACATGCTGAAAGTTTAAAAAATACACTTAACAAATGTTGCTGCAGAAGTTTAAATGAAGTTCATTCAAGTAATGGGGTTGTTAGAATTTCAAGTCCAACATACTTGGCAATACTGAGGCCTTTAAAGAAGCGAGCAATGTCTTGGTCTGAGGACTGCCATGGAAGCCCCCGTGCTCTGATCACTGTCTCACTGTCCACAGGCTCTGTCTTACTACTGAAAAGGGAGACAACAAAAAAAAAAAAAGAAAAATAATAAGAACACATTATTAAAAGCATACCTAAAGATGACTATAGCTTTTAGAAAAAACATCACTGCTCTTGTAACAGTTGAACAAATTGTCCATGGACTGTAGACAGAGGCCACTCACAGTAAGTGCTTAACACAGTAACGCACTCCCATGATTAAATGTCAGGGGGTTGTCAAGGTGATAGGCTTTTGACTGTCTGAGAGCGACAGGATTTGGTGTTCTGCTACTGGATAGCCAGGTAAGCACTTGATGGCAAAGTTGGACAGCTTTAATAACACACTTGTGGTTTCCTTGTTGCTGTAATCAATGCTAAGGGCCCCGAGGTCTGAGGTTTGAGTATGTCTGGAGGGGGGTTGTCAGTCTGTAAACAACACTGTTGGCTAAGAGGTGTGGAAGAACCTACATAAAGATGGAGTGAAATAAAGTTCATACATACCATGTGCCGGAATCAAACTTGTACTTCACTGTTTCAACAGAGGAGAACTTGTGATCTAAAAATAAAAATAAAATTGCATCATTGAATGCGTTGTTGGATCCTGAAGTTCCAAAACAATGTTCTGTCTTTTCTGTAGTGAACAGGTTCACCCTGACAGGCAGCATGTGTTTAAAGCACTCTGCATTCCTGTTACCTATCACACCCAAAGACATACTTAGCTGTTATTAAAAAGGTAAAGCCAGAGGCGACTGCCACTGTCAAGTCAGACGATATCAGATCAAAGTTTTGATTTATACTGTAACATATCTGGAGCCATCTTACATTTATACATACTGCAGTAAATCATCTGATGGTGAATAAGAGGGTTTGCTGCTTTTTAAGACACCTTTTATTAATAATAATATTTCTAATATCTTTAAAACACCAAATAAGAAAGTAACTAAGTACTACTAATACAACTAATTACATAAGCCTTTCTGGCTAATATAATTAAGTCATTGCTCAATCAACAAACTACCACACCTTCTAGTTAAAGTAAAAGTATTCTTTTTGTAAACATTTGGGCTTTGTTCTAGTTTCCATCAAATAATTAACATCAAGACGGGTTGTGGTACAACGGAAAGGTTTCAGTTATGTAGTCACAATGCTGATTATATAAACCCAAACCATCAGGTAGCCAAAGCCAAAGTAGGTGAACACACTTATATAAGTGCTGGTACTTTACTGGTCTTCACATGGGCCTGGTATTTTTTTTGTCTTCTCTGCACTGGTAGGTCAGAGTTTATGGTCAACTACTAGCAATACCATGGGAGCTGGTGGGCATTCAGCTTTTAGTTCAATGTCAGATTGTTTTAGATGCAGTTACTTACTGTAGGGCTCTGCCAGGATGCAGAGTGTCAGCTGCACCATACTGCTCACCTCCCTCACGCCCATCAACTGCTCTGACACAGCAGGAAGACCAACATCTGCACACACAGTTAAGGACAAGCTACCTATTATTTTGACTTTGTACGGCTTGTTGATGTGTCAAGCTGTTAGGATTTTGTGCCCGCTTCCTTTTACATCACTAAGTCCAAACTGAATTGGCAAAGAAAAGTTTATATACTGTGTAAATACAGTTCTTGGTGTACATTAACATTTTTCCTTGTATCTTCCCTGAAATATAGCACAGAGAATCAATAAGATGCCACTACAAAGACAGTTTTAGTGTACAGGCAGGCAAAGGATACATTCCAACATGGAGGGGAGTTCGAGCTTTTGCACAGGGCCGGCATTGGGGCAGCATTTGTGAAACTCCTTCCTGACGTCCACAAATGAGAAGAAACATTCAGGAAGGACAAGATTCTGAAAAGGAAAAGACAAAAAAAACAAAGGATTCAGTATGACAGTATGGCAATCTGATATGGATATTGGATACTCCAGGAAGTTAACGGACAAAGAGATGAAAAAGAGAGAATTCAGAAGAAAAGGGTTTGCTGACATCATGAGTAGTCAGAGTTATAACCAGAAACACAAAAAGGAGGAAAACAGCAGAAATGAATTACTTCTTAATAAGGGTTGATGCCTGCATTCATGAGGGAAAGAAATCCCACCCTTAAGGCTTATCACATTTAACGACAGCCTCAAATTAACTAGGAAAAATACATATTCAAAACATTCTTTATTTTAACAAAGCAACCATAATTTTCTTTTTACCATCATAAAACTCTGCGACATACCAAACAGTGTTTTGCAAAAGAATAAAATGCTACTGGAAATATATTTCAATTTGGATCTGCAATCATGTGTCTGCAGTTTTGAGAAATAACAGTGGGAACTATTACCTTTTTGGAAGCTTCGGGGTGGAGGGCCTGTCGGATGACAAGGGGACTGTTGACACAAAGTGTGTAAGTGCTCCTGCCGAGGCATTTCAGTTCTGATGACACTGACTGTTGGAACTGCATAATAAAACACAGGAAGGAGAAAAGAAAATTAAAATGTATACATTTCAGAATTTGTATCCATCACAGGAAAGCAGGACTTTCAATATCAAATCTGAACATACCACAAATGTGTATCTTTAGAGAAAACGAAGTAATTTATTTGGGATTAATTCACTCTCATTAATATACAAACATTAAGTGACTTCCTAATAAGTAAAACATGGTTCAAGTATCTGCTGTGAAAGTGAGAATTACAAGGTGCACTCAGATCTAAAGGCGGACAAGTGAAGGTGGCGTCTTGTTTGACATTTGACTGTGTGTTTGTTTCTCATTAGGAACAAGGACTTGTCTAACAGGTTTCTGTGTTTGCCGAGTAAGGGAGGGAGCAGACAAAGGAGAGGAATGATCACACCACTAATCACAAGGATCACAGTTTGTTTGTAGCATGACCAACAGTCACAGCCAAGAGGAAAAACAACTCATACAAGTCCAACCTGCCTGTCTCCACTTTACAGAAATTCTAATGGCTTCAACACCCAGTCCTAAATACCAGCAACTCCCACATATGCATGTGTTTATTTATAACTACCACATTCAATGAGCCCATTCCTCGTGTTGTGTCAACCTGTTTGTTGGCAGCATTTCACTGTCAACAGAGGCCTTCAATTCAATATCAACATGAGGCAAATAACTTGTGAGGTCAGATGACTGCATTTCTGAGAATATTTTACATCATTTTCTCATGATTTTAGATGATTCATCTTCAAGCACACATTTAAATCATTTCTTTTGTGGGCTGAAAGCAAGGTTAAGTAATTTTTGGCCACTTAAGACATCAGCAAAAACTTAAAACCTTTAACATCTCACAGTTTTAGAGCAGCATGGACCTTTGGTTTAATCAACCAAATCGTGGGAAAAATATCCCATACTCATAGGTTGCTAAATGTTTTACCAGCTACTCATTTACTTTGGCTCCTTGCCATTTTGTGCGGGCCGTATACTGTATTCAGCTTTTGTGCCGAGAGCGTCTGCTTACATTTTTAGATCAGGCAGTGCTGGGATTTGAGAGCCATTGGGAATCAACCAAACTGACAAGACAAAACAAAACAAAACAAGTGAAAGTTGTTGATTCTCAGTGAGATCTGCTGTACCGGTAACACTTAAACATACAACTGTGAGTTAGTTAATTGTTGATATTATGAAATGTGGTATGATCTAAACCACCTTAATGTGCACGGAATTAGGCTTCTGAAACTTAATATACTGAGACTAATAATTTGTAAATTACGCTTCTTAATTATTCTCTCTTCCACCCCAACCAAGACTGAAACAAAAAAAACACAGCTTTTTGTCCTCTTGATTGGACATTGGACATCAATCAATTTAGGCCATAGTTGTTCTTATAGGGTATTTGGAGCAGGTGTGGGGACCATAAACGAGGGTATTGTGGTATCTCATACGCAGATTACTTTGCATAATACTGACATCTTGAAACCTTTCTGAAGTTATACTGACTTGAGTGCTGCTTGTATTTACTTGGGGTTCAATTTTCCCATGAAAGACTGAGGCCAACTTTTGCTTGCGTCATTGGCCCATTCATAGATTAGGTTTATTCCCTTCCTCTTCCCTGAACCCTCAAAGTCACCTCTATAAGTGCAAAATTAAACAGTTGTGTGTGAGACCACCTAAAACCCAGTGCTGACTAGTTTCACACGGCCACTGGCTATATGTGACAGATCTTCAGACAGTGAGAGAGTATTAGAGGTGCATGTTAGGGCTTGCTCCTTAACAGCTAGAGAGAAAAGCAGGACTATTTGACAACGCCTACCAGCTGCTGACAAGGGAACAAATGGCTGGAGTGAAACCTGAAAGAATCATAGATCTGAAAAAAGCTTGGGTATTTTCAGTGGGCCCATGAACACCAGCAGACCTATTCAAGATCACTGGTGGTCACTGAATGTACATAAAATATACTTAAAGAGTTATTTTCAAAACCATACATTTTGTAAAATCTTAACTGTGTGAGGCTTTGTTGTGTAATAGTGAGATGGTCATTACCATCCTTTGATCTAAGCCTTTTCACCTTATCCTGTAAATGCTTCTGCAATATTCTGTGTCAAGGTCATGTGAAAAAAGGAGCTACACTTCAAATTCAAACATAAATAATCAAACTATTTTAAAGCTCAAGACTTTGTACAATTGCCAAAAATGTTGCTATGGCTCTGGTGAAGAGAAAAGCTGCAACAGATCTAGATAAAGCACCACAAAGTTATGAGTGTATTACATGAGATGGAAAAGGTTCATAAAGGTGGGAAGATCTAACATGTGAGAGTTAGATGCCAGACAGCAGCATTGGTTGGATATACTATGCAGTCAGAAAATTAAGCACAAATGTCCTGGCCTACAGCAGGAATTGCCCCTACAACAACACTCGTTCAAGACTAGGGAAAACAAATTCACTCTCTCTCTCACACTCACAGCTATTTAATAAGTAAATAGCAATGTTGGTGATGTTGGTGACCTGGATCCAGATATAAGGGTTATGTGAAAACAGCTGGTCAACAGGTACATTCTGATAAATGGATGTACCATGTGCTCAACATGTAACAACAACATTATTCTAAACTATATGTGGAGTATAGAAAAATATGTACACCGAGGACAGATCTATTTAAGGGCACTTTGCCAGTGATGAATAACAAATATGAAAACCATCTTTAGTCAAAATGTTTATCATCATACTCACGATATAAAATAATAGAATTAACTCTTGGGACATCTTGGCAACATTCCATCTATCGGCCCCTCCATTGTTTGATTTAAGTTAGGGTCAATTTAAATATCACACTGGTACCACCTCAACAGCACACGTTGTATTAAAGCCTTTAAAACAACATCCACTGGTGGAGTTGTAATTGCCAAAATAAGTAGCAAACAAGAAGTAAAAGAGACACAAATGTGGAATTAGAAGTCAATACTTCATCCATTGAATGTACAGAATTCACCTGTGCAGTCTTTACTGTGTTTTGTTTTTTCTCAGTCCCATGTGCTGAAAGCACCACAATACCAATTTACAAAAAAAAAAAAAAATCAGGTACCTTATTTAATCCAGCTTAACACTTGCCACATTCATTATTCTAACAGTAAACACAAAATCCAAAAACTATGATACTATAAATAATTCTGCAGAATAATTTAGTGGCACATTTTAAAGAACTATTCATGTTTACGGTGACAACAGGACTAATGTTTGCTCAAAGCTGCGCATGCAGCTCCACCTTGGCCAATTACTAAAACCGGATTACTGAGAGAAAAGCAAATGTTTTAGAAGATGTGGAGGCACACCCTCTCCCTTTCTCCTCTATGTCAAAAACCACAGTTTAAATTGAACAAACAAGCTGAACAGAAGACAAATCTCGCACTGACAACAGACAGGCAAAGACATACGGACTACTGAGCCAAACTCAAACATAACAGAGTGCTTCCACCTTAAATTAACTACATTTTACTTTCAATGAGCATGATCTATGTATAATAGTAAATAGCCATTTACGTGAAAGAACTCTTAAAACACTACTTAAATAGAGCCCCAACTAATATGGATTTTTTGAGACCAATACTGATTTTAGAGGGGGAAATTCACCAATTACCAACATGGCGGCCAATAAGTTTCGAGCTGGAATGACAACAGACCTTTCCCATGTGACCTGATAAGCAATTTTGCTCCGATATGACTTCACTATTACACAATAAGTTTATTAAATAATATTAAAGTTAAACATTCTTTAACATGTTATGATTTAACATTGTCAATCCATTCTTGAAATGAACACGAATAAATAAATAATAAATACAAATAAAACAAATAACTAAATAAACATAGGTAATGTATGCTCAGTATTATTAAGTATTATGTAGTGCATTATATGCTGTAAAATCTTTCCACAAATTGGCATATCGGAAAACATTTACGCCGATACCAATATCTACGATAGGCCCATATGAACCAATAACATATACTGGGACACTTGGTTCTGCTGTCAAAAATTAGATCCTTATTTGCAGTGATGATGTGATAACCCACTTTCTGTATGATAATGTCATCTTACTATTTGTAACTATCATTAACTTTTTATTTTATTTAATGACTCACAAATGCTATGGACACAAATACCTCCTCCAGTTCTGCTGGATAATATCTGTCTGATATGTTTTCCACATATAAAATAAGTATAACCACATTAAAATCCTTAAAAAGGCATCTGCTAAAAAAATCTAAAATACCAGAATCTGTGTTTTTTTTAATTTGTAAGATTTTCCTGCCTGGATCTCTCCTACTTCACTGTAGAGTCCATTCTCAGTGTACGTGCACTGGAGGCTTCCAGTTTCTACATCACACTTTTATAAACTGCATACTGGACCAGGACTGACTTCCAAACTATTTGTGATGTCACAAATCATGCTGGTAGGCTCCGCCCCTTGAAATCAGATTTTCAGTGAGCACGGAGAAACTTTCCACTTTCAGCCGATGAATGTGAAAACATCCTTCTAGTGTCAAACTCTGCTCATACATCATTCTGCACAGGGAAGCTCAAACATCCAACTGTAAGAACAAGGAAAAAAACATATTTTTGAGTGGAGGGGGACTTTAAACAGACTTTCCGTTTCACTCTACCCAGTGAAAGGCGTTTTGACCGATGAGGGGGAGGAAGTGGCCTTTGAACATGGTCCTATCAGCGTTTACTCTCCTGTGTAGCCAGACCGTTTGTATGCAGAGGTGAGGTAGGGTGGTGGTGGCTGAAACAAACTCCGATAAGAGCTGCAGGGAGTGTCAGGGCAGTCCCTGAGGTAACAGTTTAAGGCACTTAAAGCTAAAACACAGGCGACATCACATCTCATGACACATGAGTTATACGCTGCTTGCAGCCAGAATGATCACTTCTGACTGAGCTAGAATCAATATAGCTAAAAAAAAAAAAGAGGTATTTCAGGGAGCTGAACTATATCATTAGTAACTATTGCTGTTTTTCTCTATCAACCCAATTTCATAATCATTGTGTAAATGACAAATCCACCTTTTTCTTTTTACTTTTCTTTTTACTCAGGATTAAGAAACATTGTGTTTTTACAGCTGAAGAAATCATCTCCCTTGACCATGTGACAGTGGATAGAAAGATAATAGCTGTGATTCCCAACTGGAATCAATATGTCTAAAACTAAACACAATAAGTAACCAGTGTGTGTAAAATTCACAAATAGTTCTGCTCACTCAGTGCACCATCAGTCTCTTTAAGCTTCACTGTCACCTACGGTATACTACAATGTTTTCTAACATAACATTCATCTTTAATACACTTGCAAAGTTAAGTTAGACATTAGAGCAAACAATCTGGTTATTGCAGTGCAGTACATTTTCCAATTTCCTGTCATAGTCTGATATCTCCCACTAATTTGCCTTCTTTCACAACTCTTATGTGGACATAATCGAGTCATTGTAACAACAGTACACAAAAGTAAACATCAAAAAAAGTTTCCTTTTCCGTTCACACAAATCAGATTTTTATGTGTCATCATTATGTGTATTATAGTGTTAAAATCCTGTTTGTCAGAATCACTCTTTATGATTAATCATGTTTACCATGTCACAATATGGTTGCCTTTGTAAGCAAATACCAAATATCAGTAACTAAGCCACTAATCAGCATTTCTCGCTGCGGTCTAAAACTGTTAAAAAATAATTACATAGTGAGTAAGAGGATGCAATGTTTCAATTTCACAACGACAACAACAACAAGGTGTGTGAGGTATCACATCACAACACACAGGCTGTGACATGCTGTCAATGTCCCAGACTAAAGCTAAACCTGTACAGTCAGCAACAGCCCAACTACAGCTAAACCAGTCGTCAGCCCGCTCCCAGGAGCCACACCGAACTGCAGATGTTACACACACGCACAATAATGTGAGATAAGGCTCACAGCTACAGTGACACATGCTCGAGTACGAGCATGTCCTTTAGTCATCATTTTACACATAAATATACTCATCCCTCCCATGTTATTTCGCATTCACAGTTTAATTTATTCTTCAAGATTTCTGATCTGTAATGATTACATTAAAAGTTTTAGAGCTTCTGATAAATATCCCTGCAGACAATATAATGTGTGATCTTTATAACTTATAAAGACTTAATAATTTATGGCAAAAAAAGGGGATGACGATGAACACATGCTCATGTCTATAAGTAATTACCCCCTGGGATTATTAAAGTATTTCTGATTCTGATTCTCCGACTTCAAATGTACAGCATTTCATAAATATGCAGTGTGTACACGCTCAAATTTTACTGTGGATCAGTTTGTGAGTAAGGAAAAGCATTATGCAAAACATGTCAGTAGGACAATTGACTGCACCAACACGTAAAATACATATGTACTTGCAGACTCAAGTGCATGTGTCATTCATAAAATGAAATATTATGCACTCACAATGTTATTAATTGGACTGCTAACCTTTCCAGCCTTCTCTAGCTTAATAAATCTTTCAAAGAAAACCAACAGATGTCCTTGGGGGCTCTAACCCACACAGGTCAATGTGACAAGCCCACCAAGAAGAGTCAGCTGCTTGTTTCCCTCTATCGTTGAATGAGTTGGAATAGGCTACTCCATCTGAACAACTGTGAACTACATGCTTCTAAACTGCAGTTCTATACAGCACTAACTAGAAAAATGTCTCTCTCTTTTCATTCCTCTGTCAACAAGGATAAAACTAATCTTAGAATGACCAACACCGAGAGAAAGTAACCGGTGAGACAAAGGTATGAAAAGAACGAACTGATTGCTTGGGTTAATGTTTGAAGGTTCAGCACACAAACTAACCTACAGTGGAGCTGAAGTCTTACCAGGTCTGTATGAGGCACAAATGGCCTCCACATTTAGACCAAACTCCCATAAAAATTTGACTGGCTTAGGCTATGCTTTGCGTGCCAACAGCATCATTGCTATAAAGCCAAAGAAAGAATTTTAAGAAAGCAAACTCCATTTTTAGTTGATTAGTACCCAAACCAAACTGCTTGTTCATGCACAGCATTCGGGCCACTGCAGCACTAATATCAATCCAAACACAATGTTCCAGCATGATAATGAGAACGAACTACCAAATATTGGAGGTGTGGGAAAGGTGCACACAAACATTTCTTGTAAATGGTGGTTGTGCTGTTTGGCAACATGAGCACACCTCCTCACAGGGAGGAACCAGAAAGCAAACCGTGGTTACAAAGAGGTGCCGTAACCGACTGCTGAGGATGAAGCCCAAGATCTGAAAGCCTCCCCTCCTGTCTGTCCTGCAGCCTAAAAACAGAGGTGCGGTCCCAGGTAAACATTCCGCCTTCCAGATGTCTGCAGCACGCATCAGGCTGAGACAAGACTAGACCTGTGACGACTCCTTATCTCCAGATGCCTCGGGCCCTGCCTATCCTAGCCCCTAAGCTCCTACAAACTGTCAGCAGAGTTTAACTGTCAGGGCCAAACCAATGGCATATCTCAACCAGGTGGAAGACCATTTTTCTAAAAAGGTCATCAGAGAAATTTGACACTCCTCACATTAACTTACAGAGCTCTTAATACTGAGTCAGGCTTGTCACGTCTCATCTCGCTGCAGGCAAAAACTGTCAGTTGGTTTAAATTACTTCTCGCAAACCAATTCTCAAAGAGACCTTACGAGCTGTTGCTGTGGTTTTCACACTGTATAGATAAAGCACACCAGTGAGATACTTTTAAGGCGCTATATTAGACTGAAAAGGATTTAAATGTTCCTCCTGGGAGACTGAAATGCCTCTCACATTTAAGACTCACCTGCTGCAGAACTTTATCCAGGGGCTCAGCTTTGACGACCTCGTCCAGAGTCAGTCCTGTCTCCTCTTTACACTGGTCTGTCAGCTCCAAAGTGTCTGGCTTGACAAGACATCTCTGAAGCTTCCCAACCTGTGAAGGGATTCAGGGTTTCATGGCGCAGAATACAGCGGCAAAAAAAACAACTAATAAAAACATGCTAATTGATGGCAAATTACAGGCTATAGCCCCCACAAACAGGAAATGAACTCTTACAACGAGAAAAAAAAAAAAAAAAAAAAAAAGTCAAACAAACAAATTGACAATGTAGTTGGCACTTAATTGTCAATAAAGCGTTGTTTATATTGTAGATGCTGACATGCTAAACCAATACGGTGTGCTATCTCCATTAGGTGAAATTACACTCTCTCACCTGCTTGTTAAATGTTAGTCGCACACCTGTGTAAAAAAAAAAAAGGTGAGCTAACGAGACGCGCTGGACAGCGAATTGATGTAGCTAGCAGGCTACAGACGGTTTCAGAGAGCACACCGTGTTGATTTTAAATGCCAAACAAACTTTTCCACTACAGGTAGACACTATGCCACAAACACTCTGGGTACATAAGAAACCGTACAACGAACGAACGGGTCAGAAAGGTCCGTACCTTTTTCTCATGTAGATCCACAATTTGCCACACCAAGAGAATTATTTCCCTCTCATCCGAACCCAGTTTACCCCCATTTGCACCAGCTGTTGCCCCAAAGAACACCACCAGAGTATCACTGTGCGAAGCCATCAGGGACCACAAGGGTAAAAACTACAATTAAAGCAAAGATTAAAATAAAAAAATAACACGAGGGTTCACCTTTTTCCAAGTGATAAGAAGAGCGAACAAAAGCGCTGGAAACTCAATTGAGGTAAACGGAGAGAGAAAAAAAAAGGGGGAGATTATTTTCAGAGGAGCCACGGAAGAGTTTGCGGTCAGAGACTCTACCTGTTGAAGTACTTGAGTGTGCTCTATCCAGAGATACTGGTTTAACTGGTAGAGAAGGGTGGAAATCCGTGTTTCGTTCACACGAACTCCATAACAAGCCCTGGATTTTTTTTCTCCCTCTCCTTTCTATTTTTTTCTGAGTTACCTGTGTGGCTCGGCCTCTGCACGAGCAGAGTCCCAAAGGCGTCGTCTATTGGCTAGTTTGGAAAGGTGAGGGCGGGACGCTGGGGTGAGTGCTGTTATCTCATTGGTTTGGCTCTGTTGAATCAGGAAGTAGTCCGGCAAAACAGGGCTGTCATACCTCCATGAGGCATATATCAGCCTGCTGCTGTTTCACGTTGATAGTGGAGAGTTAATGAACTGTACAGCCACACGTACAACAGACACCAAGGTACTCAAACTGCAGGGAAACTTCTGAATGTTTGAAGTGTGTTTGTGCCTTGAAAGGTTTATTATTTAAAGGATGAAAGTATCTAGTAGGCCTGTCTAGATAGAAGGCCTGTATTATATGTATATCCTCAAACAACATTGTTATGTGTTTCCTCTGTCTGCTTTTCGTCCCTGTCCTTGCATAAGAAGTAGTTTAGCCTAGAAATTCGTATGATGGTCATTGCCTCACTGTGGGTAAGCGCTGAATAACTTGTACAGAGTATTGACAGGACTTCTTGTTGGATCTATAACAGTCAGGCCACATCAGAGGTCTATTAGAAGACATGTTGTGGGAGTTGGTATCAATCTGGATCCAACATTAAAATAAAATTTTGTAGCCCATACACTGATTCTACCATGTGGCGTATTCAATGTTGCGCTTCCTCTTTAAGTTTCTACAGATGATACGCATATGAAAAACTACACACCTACTTTACGTACTGTAAGGCCAATATTCACGAGAGAGTTTGAAGTTGTAAACTTTGGATGATTGCTACAATGACCATCATCAGGATGATTTGCCCTAATTTACATTTACTTGGTAATGTTTGTTTATGTAAGGCAGTACTAGGTAGAAGGTAATACAGGAAGGTCGGAAAAAAGAAGGAAGGGAGGAAAGAAAGAGAAACAAATACACACAGAGAACAAATAAACAATTGTTTTCCAACCTTGTTTCTTAGGAGACCTGTTTTCTATCATTGAGTGAACTGATGACCCCTGACTAAGTGACAGATTGTATGGCTTTTAAATATTTAGTGCATGACAGTAGCAGTACAGAATTGATCAACTGTACAATTAATCCAAATAGTGAATGCAATAACTGCAGGACGTTGGTGTATAACTAGGTATTTGAAGGAATCCTGAGCAGATTATTTCCTGTTCCCATTGTTCTATTAGGTCTTCGGTTGTTTGAACTGCGTACTGTTGTTTAGCAGAGAGTGAAGGTTCTGTAAATATAGCTCGTGTTCAGGTCTTCACTGTGTCCTTGTCCTGTAAGATATTTTTTAATCTTAAATGGTAATCCAAACTTTAAAAATCTTAATTTTCTTTACATTAGTGAACTAAATGCTGAAATATGCGTGTAGTATATTTTTTAAAATAAGTTCACTTACCCCACATGGAGGTTTGGTTACCCCTTGCTGGGGTCGGGACCCCCAGGTTGGGAACCAGTGATCTAATTTATTGTTTTTACATGTTTTCAACTAGTGATCCTTATGCATTCCTCTAAAACTCCAGGCTGCTGTGTCATTTCACACTCACTGTTGTCACTGCACAGTATGTTTTTCTTTTTCTGGTCACATGTCTCTCACACTCTTTTGGTTTTATTTTCATCTAGGAGAAGCTTTCATATTGAAAATAAAATGCCACTTCAAAGGAGCAACATTTTCAATAACTTCACTGGTCCTTACTGGTCTGCTGGAGTTTTCACTAGTCTTTGGCTCCGTTCCCAGAATGCCATGTTTTGTTGCTCCTGGCAATCCCATCTCTGCTCGCTATGGGCCAGCAGACTATAGTAAATGTGGGGCTTTTTTGTCTCTTCATCTCCTTTCACTCATTAAATCCCCCAATCTAAAGAGTAAATTCCCAGTGTCTCTTTCCTCATGTTGAATCATTCTTTCCAGCTGAACCAGTCTGATTAGTTGAGGGACACACTGGGAAACACTTCATCTGAAATCCTAAACACAAAGTAATATTATTCCCCCACAACAGTATTTTCAAAGAACATTTATCTTCAAGACATCACATAGGCATGCTTATACATGTTGTCTTGTCTGTGGTACAAAATGACAAGTTAAGTCTTTCTTTTCAGCAGGTGTGATTGTTAAAAAAAAAAAGAGGGGGGGAAAGTACAATTTATACAGCAACCTGTACGAGCCACTGCCGTACCCAGAAAGTAACTTTGCTTCTGTGTCAGTGGTAGTATCAGGTGGTGTGAGGTGTTACACTTAGCAGTGAACTTTATTGATAGCCAAGATTCATGGCTCAGTTGTGTGGTTGGCAGATCCTGTCCTGTTGTGTACTTTTAGCTGGGGAAAGTATGGGTTACATTTAAAGAGATAACAGTAATCTGATTGGATTGGTTGATTATTTTCCACCTTAGTAGCTAATTATGCATTATTTAACAAAACCAATCAAAATAATACAGTATGGACTTTTTGTAGGACTATGGGGATGGGTACATTAGAGACACACTGCAGTTGTTGTCTGTTTATACACGCTGCTTCCTCTGTGAGAAAAGGTCGAGTGTGTCTCAGGGTCAGTGTTGTTTTCTTGTGAGATCTCGTCTCACACATATGTTTTTTGTCACACCCTTTGCTCTCTGTAATTTTCCACTGGTACAGTTCAAATAATCCTGACTCAGTAATATTCAAAGGCTCCAAAGAGGTGACGAGCACTGTCACAGTGATTTCATTCAACCCTCACTTCAAATCATTATCTCTCAATGATCTCATAGCATTTGATGCTACATACAGATAACACTGTATGGGGAAATCATCAGTATGGAAAGTCAATTCTTCAAAATATTTTAAACTTTTTTGAGAGAATATCATCATGACCATTCCTTGGTTAGATGATAAAAAAAAAAAACATACAATGGGATAGTCCCAAAGTAGGGCTTCATGTGAGGACATCTGGCCTGCCAGATGTCTCTAAAGAAAAAAAAATCAAAACTTTAAAAAAAAATGATACTATGAATTGCTGTTAATGCCGTTTTATTTATTTCATAATCCGAGCAACAATGGGAAGAGTGACACCACGCAGAAAGTCAGTCAGTTAATAAGGGAACTAACCCTAACAACCACATAACAATATACAACTCAATAGGTGTTGGCTTTTGGCCCGTGGCCCGCCATTTAGTTTTAGTTTTGGTCATCCAATCGGAAAAGCCTGGACACCACTGGGATAGTGAAATAAAAATATTATTATTAATCTACTCTGAAATGATGTCAAAACTAAATTATTAAAAACACAGCTCCACTGCCATCTACTGGCTGTGTCAGTTGGAGAGACAGAATTTTGTGGAGACATGGCAACAAACTTATGCTATGATGAGAGTATATTATATATTTCTAACAGACACATGCATTTAGAAAATTCAATAAAGAGGCTGACGCTGAACTCTCTCACTTAAAAGTGCGGGTTTGGGTTTGTTAAGACTGTAAGCAACATTAAGACATGATTCCGCTTTTTTACTGCTCAACAAAGGGAACATGCAGTTTTTCATTTTGCAATCTTTTCATCAAGAGGAAGTTGAAAGTATGACTGCTGTCTATAGTGGGATACAACTGTTAGCTAGTTTGTCAAGAGTGAAGAACTTATACTCTGAGAGATAAAAAACTAAGAATAAACGATAAAAGATTGTGAATTGTGATTGTGAGATGTTAAATGTTAAAATAACTGACAACTGCAGAATTAGATGAAATACTACTGTGCTTTGTCTAATCATGTTCTCAAACTTACTTAAAAGCGTTCTAAACAATCAATAAAATAATAAATACAATTTAATTTAACAAAATAAAAAAAACGTATTAATAATAATAATATTGACACATGTCTTATATACATGTAGAATTATTTATTGTACTATTTATGAGTAACATGGAATACATCCAAGTACGTAATATATAACATATTTATAAATATATGTTCAACATAATAAAAACATGTAAAACAGGTTATTTACAGAGTTAGAAATGTATCGCACAGAAAAATGACTTCCTGTTCATCTGTGTTGTAATTTTATAAATTCATTTCAGGCAAATTTTCATTCATTTGAAAAAGTATACATAAGAATATATATAAAGAGACACGCAGCACAAACACCATACATTTTCAATATCAGGATGGTTTATTTTCACACATTTTTATTAATATGTCCATTTGGTCTTTTGACTCAGACACACACTGAGAACTGATGGTCTGATTGCTGTGTCGCTTAGACACAAAGGACACCTCTCTATTGCCTTCACCTGGAGAGGTGCTGGAGATGTGGCGGAAGAGCTTCTGGATGCCGGTGTCACGCAGGGAGCTCCTGAAGGAGTGAGCCGCAAACATGTAGAGGATGGGGTTAACAGTGCTGCTGACGAAGACCATACCTCCAGCGATGAAGACCATGGTGCTCCTGGCACTCTCCAGATTATCTGCTCCATTGGGAAAGTATTTTTCTATGGCCAGGATGATGAGTGAGAGGATGTTTCCTATGTGATGAGGCGTCCAACAAATGGCAAACACAATCACTACACTGGCGATCAGGACTGTAGACTTGCGCCTGGACTTGAAGGTCATCTGAGTAATCCGACTGCACAGGCAGCCATAGCAAACCACGAGGATGGAGAAGGGTAATATGTAGCCCACCAGTGTCTCTAACAGCACACACACCAGCTCCTGGGTCACAGAAGTGTACTCCCGATACAGACAGTGCTCTTCATCAGACTCCGTCCCTACAACCTGAGTTGGGATGACAGGTATGCTGAACAGGAACGCTGCAGTCCACAGAACCAGCAGAACTTTATTTAGAGCTTTTTTACTCTTCCAGACGGCTGAGGCATAGGGGTATCGCACGG